GAAAAAAAAAAAAAAAAAAAAAAAAAAAAAAAAAAAAAAAGGCAAAACATATATATGGGGCTTTTTTGTTTTGTTTTTTGTAGTACTGGGGATTGAAGCCCAAGGTCTTCATACATGCTAGCCAAGTACTCTACCACTGCTCTACATTCCAGCCTAATTCAACATGTGTTGTTTTTTGTTTTGTTTTGTTTTTTGTACTGGGGATCGAACTCAGGACCTTGCTCTTGCTCCCCGCAGGTGAAGTGCCACTTAGCTAAATTCCCAGCTCCATGTGTGTTTTTGAGTGCTGGCTCTATGCCCACACTGTGACATGCTCCGGGAGCCATACACATGCATCTGTAATCTCTATAGAGTAATAATTTTTAATGTGTTAATACTTAGGATAAGAAAAATAAACACTAGCAAAGGAAAGAATCAGCTGTTATGAGCAAATTGGCGTAAGGCTTTTCCTGTAAATTTTCTAGAGTAAATTTTAGCTGATGGTAAGGAAGAAATTTGCAGCAAGTAGGGTTGAAAGGTTTGCTACTACCCAGGTTGTTCTGACTGGTGTGACTGAGCAAGGTCCTAAGTCCAGGGTATGAAAGTTGGTGAACACAGGAGTGTACAAAGGCACAGGGAAGGTTCTAGAATTGATCACCAAATGAAGAGAAAAGGCATCGACCCAGTTTAAAATGGCATCCTTGGATGGAAATGAAATCTAAAAAAAACTGCATTTCTAAAGTGTCAAAGGAAGGATAAGAAAAAAACTATACCTCCAAGTTCCTATTGGAAACAATTTACTCTGATCATCTTCCATCTGTTGTCAGGTTGCACAGTCAGCTATATTTGATCTTATCAAATATTTATAGTCATAATATAACCTCAAATAAAAATAGAGCTATTTCAAAAATACAAAACATAATAGTCAACTTAATCCTTAAGTCCTTAAGTGTGACAGATAGAAAGTTTGTCCTCTGTAATACCTCAAAGGCCACAGTGCAGTGCTATGGTAAATTCCAATACCAGGTATTCTACTTTGGTTTGTGTTTTTTTTTGTTTTTGTTTTTTGGTACCAGGAATTGAACTTGGGTCCTTGCACTTGCAAGGCAGGCCACCAAACCGCTGAGCTAGATCCCCGGCCCCCAGGTATTCTACTTTGTCAAAGATGATGAAATACCTACCATAGGGCTAATTGTATCATTTAACATGCACACCTTAGCTAGATGTCTTGAACTTTCTTACTTTTTATTCTTTTGTTGTTTTTTTTTTTTGGTACTGGGGATTGAATCTTACCTTTTATTGTTTATGAATTTGTAAAATCAACCATACCAGTAATCAGCTCACGAATAATCCTTACTCCACCCTATAGGTGATACTGTCTTCACTGAGTTGAACAAACATTTACCATCAGGTGCCTAACATATCCCAGACACTGCAGGTTGAAGATGAATAAGGTCCAGTTCCTGCTCAAGAGGAGCTTATACTCTGATAATTTGCTTCTTAACTTCAAGAGAACACACCTCCATAATTTTCAGACTCCCCAAATCTCATTAATTCATAGATCCTATAGATCTGAGAACCTCAAAACTCAATCCAGTGCAAGAAACAAAAAGGAGTTAACAGGAAGCTCTTTACACAAGAGTAACTGTAAGTTATAATCAGACAGTGATAAAATTCCAGAGTGCACACAGATGTAAATCAGATAGTCTCCTGTGCTTCTGACAGGGTAGAGTTGGGAGATAGCAAAGCAGGTCTTGGTAACCACAGTGACAATGAGAAAGACTAGGAACTAAAGCAAACATTCATCAGTCCAGTTGGATGAGACACTTCATGGTCCACCCTCTGACAAGTAGGTCCTTATCTTAGTTAAAAAGGGAAGTAGAGGAACAATCAACTTGAAAAAGTGAACAGAGGATACAAGAAAGGTTAGATTTCTTGTTCTAAAGATTAACTGATTTACTGAACCCTAAAACAGAGTTGCTTGTCAACTTCTGTGTTATATGAGAGAAAGACAAGAGCACAGAGTGGGTGGTTTGAATTTGCTGTTGCTGTTTTAGGTTACCTCTGCATCATATCTGACTGCAGCAGAGAATAATGAAAATGCATTCTCCACAGTAATTCCGCGCTTGATAACGTGCTGACAAAGTTTTTTCAGTCTGTTTTCACAGTAAGATGTCGCCAAATCCAAAAGACCTGAAAGTAAGAAGTATGGAAGTTTTAATCCAGTTAACAATAACTTCTCATAATTTATAAATAAACAAACTTCATCTTGGTGAACAGTTATATATATAAGTCAGCAGAAGTTTCTCAGCAAGTAATATTTGATTTTGAATAAATATACTTTTTTGTTCCCTATATTTCTCACCTCCAAAAACATATTATTTTATAGAATTTCTTCAATAGTACAAAGGTCAAAAAAAAGAAAATTTCCTCCTTCACTTTGTTTCCAAAATGCTAAATCCAGTAGTAGCATACCTTATTATATAAAAAATTAAAATAAGGACCAGGAATGTAGCTAGAAGCACAGTGTTTACCTGGCAAGCGGAAGTTCCTGAGTTTGATTCCCAGTACCAAAAAAAAAGTCTACAGTCATAAACTTTTCTCCATAATTATTAACCACAATAACTACACAATACTGTATTATTTTGTGGGGGTACTGAGGATTGAACTCAAGACCTTGCACTTGCAAGGTAGGCACAGCACCACTGAGCTAAATCTCTGGCCTTAATACAGCACTATTTTTATAGACATTTACTTTTAATTTTGTACCAGGGATTGAACTGAGGACCTTGCACTTGAGAGGCAGGTACAGTGTCACTGAGCTAAATCCGCAGCCTGTAGACATTTACTTTTAAAAACAATATAAAAGCCAAAATATTTGAAATTTTTTACATTTCACTACCCTAAGAACATGAGGAGATTCTTTTTTTTTTTTTTTAAGGAGATACATTCTTGACCACATGGCCTGGAGAGTCCAACAGAACTAAGGTACCTATAGCATCTTCAGGTGGCAGATCCACTGTGTCTGTATAGAGGTACTGGAGAAAGGCACGATACACAGGGTAAGAAAACTGGTCTATTTCTATCACCTCTTTCATGTCCTCATTCCAGTAAGACTGGAACATGGATCGAAAGTGTTCACACCTGAAAGAGAAAAGCAAATGTTACCTAACAAAGGTGACAAAGTCAGATAAACAGATAATACAGGTATTCCTTAACTACTGTATTTGGGCCTACACAGAATGGGATTCTGACTTGTTACCATAAAACTTCCCTTCTGCAAGGGCTTATACCCTTTCATTTCTGGTATCTCCTAATAAATATTAAGAATTACACATTCTACCCAGATGCACCTAGCACTTCAACAGCACAACAATTTCCATTTGACAGTTCCCATTCTGATTAAGGTGACTTAAAAAAAAGGTACCAGAATTGCATTTTAAATAACAAAATTAGGACTGGGGATATGGTTCAGTGATAGGACATTTTCCTAGCATGCATAAGACCCTGAACCTTGGTTTAACCTGTAGGACCACAAAACAAAAACAAAAGCAGCAGCAACAAAAACAATGAAATTTGAAAAATTCAGAAGGGAGCATTGAAATTGTTGACTATATATTAATTCACTGAAATAATTTGTTTTTGTTTATATAATCAATCTATTTTTAAAACTGGTCTAAGTGTCAAATAGAGTGTATTAAGCTGAATATGTTGTGTTATCTGACAAGATGATTTCCCTTCCTTTCTAACTCATCTCTGAAGCAGCCATCACTCTCACCTATCTAACTCAGGACCTTGCACTTGAGAGGCAGGTGGCAGAACCATTGAGCTAAATCCCTGGTCCACTCTCACCTATTTCTTAAACTGGCCTGCTCCCTTTCCTCTCCTCCCAGGCCTGTCAGAAACTTCTTTATAAAACACATTCATGGGCCAGGGATTTCATGGGCCGGGGATTTAGCTCAGTGGTTCCGCTGCCTGCCTTGCAAGTGCAAGGCCCTGAGTTCAATCCCCAATACCAGAAACAAACAAACAAACAAAAAAACCACACACATTTACAAGGACAATCTTTCTCTCAAGAAAATCCAAGTGGGCCTTTTTGTACTACACTTACATAAGTTCAGTTATGTAAGAAAAAGATTGCTGAATACTAATTTCCTTAAAATATGACATACTTTTAGAAATAGAATGTATTTTAAAATTATCTTTTCATAGTCATTCAAAATGAACACAAAGAGACACATATTTTCAAACTCCATTCAAGATATTCCAGTTATATAATTATTCCATCTCAGAAGTTAAGAAAAAAGTTGTCTAAGGAATATTGTACATAATGTGTCACACAAGAAACAGACCAGCTGACTACAGGGTCACAGAGAAACATTTCCAGTTCGTCTTCTCAACAAATACTACTGTAATTCAGATACTACCTTAGGTAATAAATGACAGATAGCTTTGGTTTCCTTAAAAAGTATTATTTGCAAAGTAGGCTTTAACTAAATTTTTAAGATTTCAAAACATCCAGATTAATGGACTGATTTTTATGTTCCTATTTCTCACAATAGCAACTTCAGTGAGCAACAGTCCAAATAATTATTCCTTCACATTTACACAAGGAACTGTTGCCAAATTTTTTTTTTTTTTTTGGTACTGGGCTCGAACTCGGGTCCTTGTGCTTGTGAGGCAGGCAGCGGAACCACTGAGCTAAATCCCCAGCCCTCTTGCCATTTATTATATCTAAAGAACTTTCCTTTAGTTGAAAATTAGAGAACCCTGACGGTTAAAAGCCTAGCATTCCCAACTATGAGCTTTCTGCTTGAGAAAAATGAATCTTTAATAGTAAAAGAGGACACATACTGACATTCACTGACAATCTTTTGTATTTTGCACCTCCACCCACCCAGTGCTGGAGATCTACAGTGAACTCATATAAAAATACCTGATTTTCAAAACAGCTTTATGGACATGAATGTATTTCCCATCAATTCGAAACTTCAGATCAGCAGTTTCGGGACTATCAAATTCTTTCTTCAGTGACTCTGCAACTGTTAAAAAGTCTTCATGCTCTGAAGGGAGCAGACACAGTATTAGTACAGAATGCTAAGGAGACAGAGAAAGATATGGAAGATTTCCAAGAGACCAGAACAGCATGGTGAGTAATTCTACCTAAGGTATTTTCCAAGAGCTCATACCTTGACAAGTCAATTTCACAAAATAAGTACCTTCCATATTGAAACTACCAACAACAACAAACTACCAACCGAACAAGTATTTAGAAAAGCCAAATGAATCTTGCATGCTTAAACAAGAAAAACAGAGGTGTCTAATAATTACAGGTAATCCATCAACAATCAGTCAAAATTTGAGTGTTCTCTTCTAAGACTAAGGACATGTCAATTTTTCTTGACTGAAACATTAAGAACACCTCTGCTCTGATTTGGGTTAGTTTCAAGGGACCAACACATTCAAATCAAGCAGGCCCAAGAAAAAAACCTAACACCAAGTGAGAATGCTAAGTGGTCAGATTCCTAAGTAGGGCAAATTTTCCCTAGCATCTCAAAGCTAAGCATCCGTTTTAATCCTAAAAAACAATACACAAGCAATAATCCTTCTATAAATTATCTAGAAAGAGAACGAATTTACTTAGTATACATAGTTTAGAATAGACAGCTTTACAAGAACAAGCAATTACATGACCTGGAATATGTAAGTAGTTTCTAACACCTGTACAAATCATGTAACAAATTCCTTTATATGTTCTTGTATGAGAGAAGGTAAAAAGCAGGTGACTAATAGGGAAATAAATTCCAGAGGTCCTTATTGGGCACTGAACAAAGCTGCTAGGGACATAAGAGATGAGTTTTAACTTCCCAGGAACTGAAAATGATGACTTAACCAAAGAGCTTAACTGTTCAAGCATAGAAAAATGTGTTGCTTGGTACTTGGTGTCACCAAGGCAACTCTTAGGGGAGGGACGTGGGCTAAATAAAACCTAGGATAGAACTTAACAAATGAGCATGGAACTATCACTTGCCAAAGCCCTGTGACCTCAACCTACAACCTTCCCTAAACCCTACAACACAAAGTTCTGCCCATGGGGGAATGCTGGAAAATTTCTCATAAATCAGTCTCACCCTGACAAAAGAAAGGAAATGACTATGATGGGCAGAGTCCAGAGGTGTGGCCTACCCATCCAAAGCACAGGTTCTCATCAGTGCCTCCCACTCTGCATCTAGTCACAGGGTTGAAATGAACCTTTCCCCCTCTTTGTTTCTTGCAACAAGTATAATACTTCCTTTCAGAGAAGAAATATTCCTCAGAGGTGTGAATTCACCATTTGACTTTCTTCCTAACATTCAGCTGAGATCATAACTGAAAGGAAAAAACATTTCTGACTTTCAGTGGCGAGAAAGGGAAAAGAAGCCACGTAGGAAATATAGTCAATGACCACATTTTTTCCAAACAACATTAAAAATGTTAGGACATTGTTCTGAAGAGAATAACTGCCATTTTAAGATGTGCCCTTTTATACATGGGTCCAGGTTAAGTCGTATATATAAATCTTAGGATGTGCCGTACAGATGTCCTGTGGCTATGCGTGCTATGCGCATATATATCCAATTATGGCCAAAAGGTCCTGCTCCATGAACTAAATTTTTCTAATAATATTTATTGATATACATAATACTATAGATAAAGCTGGTAAAATGAATTTAAAGCAAATGTTCAGTTTATTTCACTTTATAGCAACATAACTTTTCCTAAACATACTCTTACTTAACTTCATGATGGGTGGGTGGATGGGTGTGTGTGTGTGTGTGTGTGTGTGTGTGTTGTGTGTGTGTGTTTGTATGAGGTTTTCTTTTGGAGTAATGAAAATATTTTGGAACTTGATATAAATGATGGATGCATAACATGAATACAGTAAATGTGCTATACTATATACTTTTAAATGATTAATTTTATTTTATGTAAATGTGATCTTAAAATGAAAGCATTTAGGAGAAAAAAGTCCATGGAATATTTCATGACATATAAATAAATGTGATTATTATTGGGGAAAATATTAAAGCTAGTGGACACAAAAACATTCTAGTACCTAAAAGTGCCTTCAACTGGCAAATACAATGGACTTAGTATTTGGTCAGTAGATGTACCATTCTTCATGGGTACATGAAACCCAAAGCCTTCTTACCTACAGACAAAAGACGCCACGAGACAGCAGGAGTGGCAAAGCAGGCAAACACGTCATCGGTGCAGGAGAAGTGGGTGAGGTGAGGGAGGATCACCGACTGGCCCCGGCACTGGCCCCACATGTACACGTGCCCACCCTGGGTCTTGGCAGCGGACGTGTGGGTGGAGTGACAGGCTGCGATTTCTACCACCCTGAAAAGTTTTAAGCAAAGTGCATGTCACTTTCTTACTACAGAAACCCTGAGCATACCACACATGGTAATTAAAAAGTTCATGCTTTGAACAACTCAAACAAAAAGCCCAATATCGGGGATGTTAGCGGCTAAGTCACACTGAGGAAGCCAAAGATCAGGGAAGAAACACTGTGTTTTTCCCTTCCTGATACCCTCACTTTCACTTACATGCATTCTGAGTTAAGGTAAACAACAGTAACAGTGAGGAAAACTCAGAAAAGTAGATCAAAGTAAATGGAGAAAGTGGACTGTGACAAAATATACTGACCATTTGGGGGGCCCAAGCAGTAGTGAGAAAAAAATACTAGGAGTATCTTCAATATACCATCTGTATCTCACTGCCTGACAGGGCTCAGAACACTCAAGAGGCTGTTAAGCACTGGTTCAACAATCATGGACTCGATATTCCAATCGACGGAAACACCAGGCCAAACTTGTGGTTTTTTAGTATGCTTTTTGCCACAGTGCTGCAATCAGAAGTCCACACCCTAGACTTAGTGGGTGAGACCTCACAGTATGGTTCAATAGACATTAAGCAAGTACTCTAGTAGTACACAGCAAGTCAAATCAATATTTAAATTGTGTCCTTTTAAAAGCAGGTCTTATTTAAAAGTGGGATTGGTAGACTCTAAAGAAAAGTTTGTACTATTCTTCAAATTTCAACAATGTCACAGACCTTATTTGACTGCCTTATGCAATGGGCAACACCAAGCTGCAAGAGAAGTAATGGATCTCATGCTCATTCTGGCTGGTACTCAAAGCCATTCTTTTCAAAATGGGAATGTTAATCAACAGTAGAGTCACAAAGCCAACCAACACAGCATTGCCACACACAATTCCAAGGCCACAATGCACACATTGTACCAAGACATGGCGCAGCCAAATTACCTTTCTTTCTCCACCATGATGTGTGCTGGGCTTAGCAGGTTATTTTTATTGCCAGTTCCCAGCTGCCCATATGTGTTAGCTCCCCAGGCATAGAGCAAGCCCTCATCGGTTAGTGCTAGAGTATGTGCATAGCCGCAGACAATCTGCAAGTAAACGTAAATGGTTACCATTACCAGGAAAACACGAAGGGCAGAGGTACATCTACTTAAAGGTTACAGCCAGCCTCTGCAGAATGTCAGTTCATCACCAGATGTGAACTGACATTTGCTGGAACACGAAAAAGCATTAGGAAAGGCTAACCCTTAAACTACTGGATTTCTCCATCAGTTTAATTTGTCAAGACTGATGTGCCACTACCATAGGTTTTCCTCTCCTCATGGGATTCAGGAAAGACAATACGTGAAAGGTGACAGCACAGTAATTGCCAGAAAAGAATAACAAAAACAGTAAACCTCCAATATTTGTCCAAGTCAGTGCAGGGAAAATGGACAAGGACTACCTGGCAAGAAGCTGCCACACATACCTGATTCACACACACGCTGTGCAAAGCTGCCACTCTCACAGGGGTTAGCTGGTTACCATTGTTTCCCAAACCCAGCTGGCCATTGCCATTGTAGCCCCAGCCATAGACCTGAAAGAGAGATGAGCTCTGAGAACTGAAGCAGTGAAAATCTAAACATATCAGATACTCCAAGCCAGTATCCTACTCCACGTAATTCTCTAACTTATCTCCAAATAGAAGGTACTTTGGAGGGGATGAAAGAATCTGGCATCAGTGCCCATAACATGTTTTTGGTTAGACAGCTGTAGGCAAGTTCCTTGTTCCTGTTTTATAGATGAGGAATCTGAAGGCCATGAACAATTATTAAGCATATACTGTATATCAGGACACTGTGAAAGGTACTTAAAGTAAGTCTTTGATTACAGTTTAACAGAAGAGGTGAACACATGAAAAAGTTTTGCAGACAGGGAGAAAAAATTATAATAGAGATAATCAAGGCACTATAGGAATAGTGGGGAGAAGTATACCTCTATGAAGAAAGTTTAGAGAAATTCCTTCAACCCTGCTCACTTTCTAGAAAGTGGAGACCTGAGCAGGATTGAAGGATGAGTGAGGATGAAGGCATTTCAGGGAGATGACACAGGATGTGTTAGAGGAAGACAGAAAAGACAGTTTGGTGGGCCTGGCTGGACACACCTGGTGCAGTGGTGGGACAAAAGACTAAAGCGGGGGGAGTGAGAGACAGAAAACCCTCCAGGAAAGTTGAATGCATCTGAAGATTTTCCACTGATATATTTCAAAATAAAGAAATTTAAATCTGCATTTGTGAAAACTCACACTGGTCTCAACAGAAAGGGTGACAAGAATACACAAGAGTAGAAGCAGAAAGACCACTCAGTAGGTAATTTCATTTTCCATCATCAAAGAGATGAGCTCTGATGACGATCTGAAAAAAATTACAGGGGACCAAGAGGGGGACAAACAGGAAGTGAGACATCATAAATGAGGTCTCTCAGATGTCTGGAGAAGGACCGTCTGCTAAAAATAATAATAGAGCTGGCATAGGTATCACAGGAGGGTTAAAGGTTTAGAATAGCCAATGTGGGGTGGCCTGCCTTGCAAGCGCAAGAACCCTATCCCTGGTACAAAAAAAAAAAAAAAAAGCCAATGTGGGAGACAGGAAAAAGAACTAGCCAGGAAGATAAAACAAGGTCTATCTCAAATTAGAAACCTAAGACTTGTAGTGACAATAAGCCCCACAGTACTGCACACAGATGTACACTGGGGTTTCTCAGGGCAACGTGACAGAGGAAAGGGAGGCAAGTATATCAGGGTCTTATCGAGAGAGAATTAAAGGTCCTTTCATTCATGCCAGACATATGTAAGGAATCAACTCTTTTTTTTTTTTAATTGAGTTTATTGGTACATTTTAGGTATACAGTACAGTGAGATTCATCATTGGGATCTTGTACCTTTACATGACAGGTCTTGGTTCTCATTATTTCCCCTTGTCCCTGCCCTCCCTTCACCCCCTCTTCCTTTCCCATTTACAAACACTTTATTTCCATTTTTTTCTTTTTCTCATTTTTTTTCTTTTCCCTTATTAGTTTTCCCCTATCCTTCCCACTTTCCCTACATCTTTAGCCCTTTTCTTCCTATTTCACATTGGCAATTATCTCATTAGGATCTTATGTACTATTATATTTTTTCACACCTGAGAAACTATTCGGTATTTACACATGTGGCTTATGTATTTCACCTAGGAGTATATCCTCAATATGTATCCATTTTCCTATGAATGAATCTAATTTCTCATTCTTTATTGCTGAGTAGTATTCCATTATATAGAAAAACCGTATCTTTATCCAGTTTCCAACTGACAGGCTGTTTCCAAGTTTTAGCTATTATAAACTGGGCCACTATAAACATAGGTGTGCATATATCTCTGTGATATGATTCTTTTAATTCTTTTGGAAAGATACCCAGCAGAGGGATGGCTGGGTCAAATGGAACCTCTAGTCCAAGCTCCTTGAGGTATCTCCATATTGATTTCCATAGTGGTTGCACCACTCTGCACTCCCACCAACAATGGAGAAGGGTTCCTTTCTCCCCACAACCCACCAACATCTGTTACTGGTTGATTTCTTGATAGCTGCCATTCATTGTGAGGTGAGGTGGAATCTCAGTGTTGTTTTCAACTGCATCTCTTGAATGACCAGTGATGTAGAACATTTTTTCATATATTTACTTGCTGCTTTGACTTCTTTCTCTGAGAAATGTCTGTTCATTTCAGATGCCCATTTTTGAATTGGGTTTTATATTGGGGGGGCTGATTGTTTTGAGTTCTTTATATATTCTAGATAATAGTCCTTTGTCTGAGGAGCAGCTGGTAAAAGTTTTTTCCCACATTGTAGGTTGTCTCTTAGTTCTGTTGGTCGTTTCTTTTGCAGGGCAGAAGCTTTTTAGTAAGATGAGATCCCAGTTGTTGATTCTTTCTGCTAGTTCCCGTGCTACTAAGGATTTGTAATAAAGTCTTTTCCTATGCCAGTGTCTTCAAGAGTTCTGCCTAACTTATCTTCCAGCAAGTTTAGTGTTTCTGTTTTTAATATTTAGATCTTTAATCCACTTGGATTTTAATTTAGTGCATGGTGAAAGATAAGGGTCTAGTTTTAATCTTTGGCAGGTTGAGATCCAGTTTATCCAACACCATTTATTAAAGAGGCTATCTTTCCTCCAGTGGGGATGGTCGGCTCCTTTGTCAAAGATGAGGTAGCTGAGTACATCTGGGTTTGTTTTTGAGTCTTCCAGTCTGTTCCACTGATCCTCAGGTCTGTTTCGTTGCCAGTTCCATGCTGTTTTTATCACAGTGGCTTTGTAGTAAAGTTTCAAATTGGGAATTGTTATACCCGCTGCCATGTGTCTGTTGTCTAGGATGGCTTTTGCTATTCTAGGTCTCTTATGGTTCCAAATGAATTTTTGGATTCCTTTTTCTAGTTCTGTGAAATATAGTGTTGGAGTTTCAATTGGCATTGCATTGAATCTGCATAGCAGTTTTGGTAGTATGGACATTTTCACTATGTTGAAGGAATCAACTTTCTGAAGAGAAACTGGCAACAGCTATCAATTTTTTTTTTTTTTTCATTTTTTGAGACAGGGTCTCCCTATGTAATTGAGACTGACCTGGAACTCACTACGTAGCCCAGGTTGGTCTCCAACTCACAGCGATTCTCCTGCCTCGGCCTCCCGAATGCTGGGATTACAGGTGTGAGCCACTACGCCTGGCTCTCAATATTTTTAATAGGGTACACTTCTTCACCCAAAAATTCTATTTCTGGGGACTTATTCTACAGAAAAACTTGCACAAGTATACAAATATGCATAGTAACACAGAAAATCAATGCTCCAATGTTTTCAACAGGAAAAAAAAATAGAAACAATTGAAATGCCTACTAGTAGAACTTTTGGAAATGGGTCATCAAGGGCAGTCACTGTGATGAAACACTGTATAAATGTTCTGATAATCCAGTGCAGCAAGTCACACTGTGTTCATAGGGAAGGAGAGAGCAAATTAAGAACAGAAGAGCAGTTATATACAGTCATCCCATTAAAGAAGTACAGTAATAATACTTTTCCACATACAATTGTTTAGAGAAAAGCCCAAAAGTATACATACAATACTAGTAATAATACTGGAGCAAAGGTATTTGATTTTTACTTTTTAGGTCTCATTTGTTTCATCAAAATAACAACTTTTTTTTTTTTTTTTTTTTTTTTTGTACCAGGGATCGAACTTGGGACCTTTAGCTTGTGAAGCAGGTGGAGGCACTGCTGAGCTAAATCCATGACCCACAAAATTTTTTAACGTTTTTTTTTGGTTTTTTTTTTTTGAGACAGGGTCTCACTATATAGTTCAGGCTGGCCTTGAACTCACTAGTACCCCAGGCTGGCCTCAACACCTCAGCCTACCAAGTTCTGGGATTATAGGCATGCATCACCATATCCATTTAAAACTCTATAAAAAATAAAAGAGTGAAGAGCATTAAAATAAAGAATATTAGATGGCTATCCTAAGGAATTCTGAGGTCATCAGGATGACAACGGGAGTCAATTAACGAAGGTGTGAACTCAGTGAACAAAGCACTCCCATACCGCAATGCCTAAGTTCACAAGCTCTGTGCCCAAAAATTCTGTGTACAAGTTTCATGTACTAAGAAATGCATAGGTGGTAAGTGGCCCATTTAAGCAGAAGTTGTAACCAGAAATAATTTCACAGAAATAACCGCCAGCTCAAAGGTGAACACAGGAGAGGTTCACTGAAGGGTGAGTTTTTAAAAGTGTAGAACAAAAGATTCTGACATTGCTTTTTGTGAAGAGACATTCAAAACGTATGCAGTGCTACAAAACTTTGTCAGCTGACTTTAAATGTAGTTAACTTTTCCACTGAAAGACAAAGGTGGTGTCAAATTCTTTGATCCAGTACATTATGAATACCTCTAAGCAATGCTTGGACCTTGCAAAAACTAAAATTATCCATGCTAGACTCTATTTGTAAATAAACTTAGGGATTTAAAGGAGTCACTCTGAACAACAAACATATTCTGGCTGGTTAGTGATCAAATAGCTATCAGTGAAGCTAGCAAGACAAAGCCCTCTTCTTATGATGAAAAACATATTTCACTATACAGGGAGCAGATATGGAAGCAAAGTGGGGAGAGCTCTCACCTCACCATTGTCCAGAACAGCCATGGATGAGGTCTGACCGCAGGCAATGCCAACCACCCTCTTAATATGTAAACAGTTGGTAACCTTTCGAGGAGTTGGTTGATTTGCTGTAGATCCTGATCCCACCTGGCCACAGTTGTTATAACCCCAAGCAAATACCTAAAAGAGAACAGATGTGCTCAAAAGTTCTAAAAGCTTTATATGCATTTCACTTATTTCTTCCTCACAAAAAATCCTGGAATGCAACCCATAAGGACAAATAATAAGGAAACTGAAACAGTTTTATGTATGAAAACTAAAACAAAAAAGGTTAAGTTTCTCCCTTAGGGTTCTAGAATCAGTAATAGGACAAGTGAAACTTAAGCCCAAGCATCTCACTATACTCTTAACCACTGTGCTGTAATTATGGCAACCACACATATTTTTATTCTGGCATTCATAAGAAATGAAACATATGCCCAGAAGTATCAATTATGTAAAAAAAAAATCTGCTCAGCAGTATTCACTGTTTTTCATAGAAATCCTTTTAAAACATACTGTGCTTTTCCCTGTCTTATTAGTCAACAATTCTTGGCCTTCACAGCCTTCTTCTGATGACAGAGGGCCATCATGCTGGTAAGTATCAGTTATAGTTCCTCACCATAATGCAGCAATGCTCACAAGAGCTACAGACATGTGTCCCTGAAGAAATGACACCTGAATGTTAGGCTTTTCTTGGCAAGGCTCTGAGTTTTCACTTGCTATCTATCAACTTCAGACTTCTTCCTTCCTCAACTGCATCTCATGGCAAGTTTTGACCTGTTATCTGCCATCATTTGAAAGCCAGATTTTCAATGAAGAGAAACAGAATCAGCTAAGTTAGTTAAAAACCAATAACAAAATATTTTTAAAAAATAAAAAAATCTAGTAACCAAGATGGAAAACAAAACAAAACAAAATCACTCTAACTTAATTACCAATTGACACTATTAAACAAATTGTGACTAGAGAGAAGGAATTAGGGAACAGGGTACTGGCAGTAGAGGAAATAACTTCTTCCAGTATTAACAGAATTTTTAAGACCTTACTTCTCACCCTCTTTCACTTGCTTTCAGGAAACAGTCCTCACACATCCTCAGTTTGGTTTCTGTAATTCATTCTCTGTCAGAACTTTCTAAACTTACATATGTTATGTTGTCCAAGGCAACAGCACTACAACCTCTGCTGTTGTCTTAAAAGAGTATATGTTTCTGCTGCCTGCCTTGCAAGTGTAAGGACCAGAGTTTGATCCCCAACTAAAAAAAAAAAAAAAAAAAAAAAAAAAAAAAAAAAAAAATTTAAAAAAAAATAAAAAAAAAAAAAAAAAAAAAAAAAAAAAAAAAAAAAATTTACGAAACAGAAGAGACCATGGCAATAGTCAAGCAGGAAATAGCAAGACAAGAGCACAAAGGTAATGGAGCTGGAGAGGCACAAAATAATATGAGAGAAGCAGAAAAGGATGAGGAAACTTTAAGAGAAGCAGAGACCTTGGGTTGAACAAGTGGTACAATATATTCTGGAATGTTGGAAAAGGTATTTTCTCCAAAATCATTACATATATTTAAAAAAATTTATCTTAAAGAATGAGGTCATCAGAAAAATCAAGTCAGAATACTGTTAAATACATCTCATTTGTAGTCTTCACAAAGAATATGAGACTCAAAAGGCAGACATTTAGCTGAGTGTGGTAGAGTACTCTGCAATCCCAGCACACTGGGAAGCTGAGGCAGAAGATTGCAAGAATATGAGACTCCCTGACTTAAGACTGAATTCTACTATCAACAAAAGCGTAATTCTGACATGATACAGGTTGCATTGGAGAAGGAGTGTGTTCCCACAATTCTTTTAGCTACACGCTATGCCAAGTACAAACATGTTCATTATTTTTTTTAAAGCAGGGAACTCTCAAAATAGAAAAGTAGAAACTATCCAAGTGTCCTCAACAGATGAATGGTAAACAAAACATGGTATTATACACACAATAGTTATTATTCAGCCTTAAAAAGGAAGGGAATCCTGTTACATACTATAAAAATAGATGAACTTTGTAGACACTAAATGAAGTAAGCAAGCCATAAAATGACAAATACTAGAATAGTGTTTGTAAATAAAGTAGCTAGAGTAGTCAAAATTACCTAAATAAAGTATTGGAATGCTCAGAAGAGAATGGAAGGAAAACGAAGCTTTTGTAAATGGGGAGGGAATGAAGGATTGAAAGGAGTGGAGGGGAATAGAGAAAAAAAGAATTAAGATATATTATGTACAGGTAGAGATACCCTAGGATGAATGTAATCTTTATATATGGCAAACATGTACTAATAGAAAACAAAACAAAAGAATGGTTGCCAGGGGTTTGGGGAGAAGAAAATCAGAAGTTAATGTTTGATAGATATAGTTTCAGTTTTGCGAAAATAAAGTTCTGTGCATGGATGGTGGCAGTAATTGCATAACAGTGTGAAAGTATTTAATGTCACTGAACTGTAAGATGAAAAATAGTTAAGATAGGGGTTGGGAGTACAGCTCAGAGTCAGAGTGCTTGTCTAGCATGTGCCAGGCCCTAGGCTTGATTCCTCAACACAGCAAAAAATATATAAATATAAAAGTTTAAGACAGTAAATTTTATGTACATCTTATCACAATTTTTTAAAGAAGTACAGCAGCACACTTACCTCTCCATCAGCTGCCAGGGCCATTGAATGATGTGAGCCACATGCTACTTCAACAACCTGCTTGATCAAGAGATTTGTACAGACTTGGATTGGGGCAATGCCTTGGTTGGTCGTTCCATTTCCCAGCTGGCTGTATCCATTGTGGCCCCAGGCATAGACAACTCCTTCTATATACAAAGAGCAAGCAAAGAATCAGCTCCAAGAGGAAATGGAAAGCCCTTTGCTTTCTTTCTAGACTTCATTGAACTCATTCCCTAACTCTCATTTCTCTTACACTGCCCCTTTCTCTTTGTAAAGTAACCACCCATGCGGGAGAGGAAGGGGAGACGAGAAGAAATAAGAAACAGGATGGAGTACAATCTTTTATAAAAGGACTTCGTACTAGCATAGAAGATCAGTATTGTGGTTAGAAGTCAAAGTGTATTACACAAAAATTGGACTTCCTAAATATTTTATCACAGTAGCTTCTATGTTAGGTACTAAGCAAAAGTCACAGGAATGGGCCAGGGATTTAGTTCAGCAGTGCTGTTTCCTGCCTCACAAGCTCAAGGTCCTGAGTTCAATCCCTGGTACCAAAAAACCCCGCAAAAACCAACCAACCAAACAAACTTAACTGCGATAAACTAGGAGGGCCAGAGATGTTGTTCAGCAGCACAATGCCTGACTGGCAAGTAGAAGACCCTGAATTTAAACAAGGAACAGTAACAGTGGCTAGTCTTTACTTCCAGATATGTGTAATCTCAGGAAGATAGATTCAAAGCCTGGGGATGACTCGATGACCAGCACCTCACTAACCTGGTGGCTATCTTCAGAAAGCGTGATCAGTATAATATTAGAGAGAGAACTCTAGTGAAATATGCCTGGAACCCTGACACACTGGGCGGCTGAGGCAAAAGGGTAGTGTGGGCAACTTAGGGAGTTGGAAAGATCCGGCCTCAAAATAAAAATTGTTTAAAAAGGGCTGGGAATGTGGCTCAGTATTGAAGACATGGATTCCAGCTGAAAAAATGAGAAAGACTACTCGGGGACAGCCAAATAGAAGAGTTTCACAGGGCAAGGATGGGGCAGGGACATGTAGCTTCTACAAAGCCACCTTTGCAAGACGTTCATACGCTCCTGACCTGGAAGCTTCTACATCTTAATTTTTTAAATAACCTTAACTTTCTGAGATTCTGACAGAGGGAACTCTCTGTTTTGTGTCCTCTTGAATCACTGTTTCATGCATTTATTTCCACAGCCTGCCTGTGTATCAAAAGGAGATCTTCTCTTTGTGTATTCTTCTCTTTTTCTTTTCTTTTTTCTTCTCTTTTTCATGGCAATAAAACATCTTGACCTTTTAAGGTCAACCCAGAGATGGTGAACACAGTATTCAAAGCCAACAGCAGGAATCCAAAGCTCTGGTTAGGTTGTAGGCCGAGAATATTTCCCATACAACCAGGGGAAAGGCACTGATACTCAACAAAGCTTCTGATTTTCTATCTAGAATGATAGCATACAACACAAGCAGGATTCTCTAGCAGGTATGAAGCTAATCTTGAGAATTTCTAATGTGTGCCCTACCACAGAAATAATGATAGAACCATAACAGGGCATTTTATCCTACAAAGGATGAGACTTGACAATGAAAGGAAGGGAATATAAAACCTGAAAAAATTATTCACAATATTATGTGAAAGTTACAGCAAATGAAATAAATGCCCCAGCCTATGAGTGTTTTAACTCCTGAAGAGAAATAAAGACTATATTCTTTAATAGGAAAACTGAGTATTATAAAGATACAAATTTTTCCTATGTAAATTTGTAAACTTCAACAGCATTAAAGTTCTTCAAGTTACTTTCTTGAGTTTGACAAACCATACAAAAAAGAAGCAGGAAAAGAGCTAAATCTACCAGTTTTTAAGACTTATAAAAGCTAGTTATATGAAAACAAAACTTACATAGGAAACAACACCATGAACAAACAAAAATATTAAATAAAAGGAAAAATTTGTAATTTATATCACTAAGAGACAATATTCCATATACAAAGGAACAACTAAAAATACAAAAATGTTTAATAGAAATAGGAAAGTGAAAGTTCAGAAATGGAAATGTAATGGCTTTTAACCATATGAGATATTCAGCTTTACACTTAAGAAAATTGCAGGAATTGAAAGCATTGCTTAGTGATAGAGCACCTGCCTAATGTGAACAAGGCTCTCAATTTAAGAGGGAAGTGAGGAGGGGAAGGAGGGGGAGGAAGAAGAACAGAGGGGGGAGAAAGAGGGAGGGAAAGGGGAGGAGGAGGAGGAAGGGAGGGGGAGGAGGAAAAGCCAATGACACCTTAACACACAGAAGACTGGCTCCTATTCACCAAGACTACTACTACTACCAGCTACTACCACCGCTCAAAGTCCAATATGCCAGTAACAAAGATTGATGCTGAAACTTCAGCACAGAACCTACCTCAAGGAGATCAGCTGCCACTTGGTGGCAAGTTGATTACAATGGACCTTTAGATGCTGAAAAGGGCAGCCATTCCTGTTGACAAAACAGGTGTATTTCCTATCCTCAGATCACTAACTGAGGTTCACTGGCACATTTAACCCACTGACACAGGATTCTCCAGAACATCTCATCAGACCAAGGGACAAGCCTATACAGCCAAAGAAGTGCAGCAGTGTTCACATGACCACGGGGTTCATGGTTCTTTCATATATTGTATACTCAAAAGCTGCCCCCGCCAAAACAAAACAAAAAAACTAGAGAGAGCACATTGGATGCACTGGTCACAGAGACATCTGACACACTGACTAAGAGATAGTACCACATAAAGATGGGATAGTGTCCACCCAAGTGGTGTATATAATCCTCAGCAATGATCACTCTATGGTGTTATGCTCCTAGAAGCAAAACACATGGATCCAGAAACCAAAAAATGGATATATGAGTGGCCTGTTGACCAGCGGCCCTAGAATTCAACTTGAAGAACTTGAATTTCCTATCACTACAATTCTAGGTTCCTTACTTAGGTTTAGAAGTCTCAGTTCCACTAAGGGCCAAAAAGAAAGTCCCACTGAACTTTAAGCTATTGCTGCCAGGAACTCTAGGTTGGCTGTACCCAAACTCCAACAGGAAAGAAGAGGAGTCATGGTCCTGGTAGGGAGGGGCAGGACTGCTGTTATAAGACAAGCGCAGAGAAGTATATTTGACACCCAGGTGACACGTGGAAACCTTTTTTGTGCACACCTGCCCAGTAATGATAGCGAACAGACGTATATAGCAGTCATGGTGAGTGCAGCATGGTTAAGGGTTCAGAATTCTCATAGATGAGAGCCCAGATCACTCAATCAGGTAGGCTATACAAGCCAAATGCTAGCCACTATTGTAAAATAGTTTACATACATCTTTCTTCTCTTTGTCTTTGATGAAGTACAGAAAAGGTTAATTCCATTATGAGCTGACTCTTAATCCCACATTCTGGCAGGGAGTGAGGGGGCACTAAAAAACAATTGTCTAACTAAACATGGGCATCCATTTCCCTGGCTCTTTTCTGACCACACTGTCTCTAGTGGAGCAAGGACTAAATTTCAGGATCACTTGATTCTTAAGAGATGAGCAAAATTCCCTAAGGGTTTGACAACAGGGTAGGGAAGGAGAAGAAGGAAAGCATGGAGGGGGCAAAGAAGTACTAATGAATTTCTGACCTTTAAGCAACTCAGTTTAGCCTTCAGGGACTGGACATGAAATTGGAGAAGTGGCCAGAAACAATTTTTTAAGTAACCTACTTTGATATTGCTTCAAAGGACAAAGAGAATTCCATAAGCCTAAGGTCTGTATATAAAGTAATAATGTCAAATAAATATTAAACTTCAAAGTAGGCACAAGGTGGGACAAGGTGTTAAAAAAAAATCAGTCAAAATATTCCCAAAACACTCATCAGAAAATACTGCACAAGCCAGTGAACCATGGAGAAATGCATGTGTGTTTTTTGTATTCACTCCCTTCCCAAATTCTACTGAAATGAGAGTAATAGGGGAGTATAGGTATAGACACACAAGGACCAAAACAGGAGAGTTGTCAACAAAACCTGGTAGGATGGAAGCAGATGGATGTGGGAACTAACAGCAGTAGTGGCACCATCATCTGAAAATGGGGAAGACTCCAGAAAGCCAATACCAGCCCTGGAACCCCAGGAAGACCCAGATACCACAAATAATGAAAGTTAAGGTGCAACAAAAAATATAAGCAATGTGACACAAAATCCTCATCCTTTCCCTCCAGAGTCAAGCAACCCCTCCTAATCCTCTTAGCGAACAGACGTATATAGCAGTCATGGTGATTACAGCATGGTTAAGGGTTCAGAATTCTCGTAGGTGAGAGCCCAGATCACTCAATCAGGTAAGCTATACAAGCCAAATGCTAGCCACTATTGTAAAATAGTTTACATACACCTTTCTTCTCTTTTCATCTATTTTGTTATAACTGCACTGAACCCCTGCTCTTCCCAAGCCTTTTCTCCCTTTCCCCATGTAACACAAAAAAGAAAACAAATCAAAAGGCTCTGTGCTCCAGGGATCCCAAAATAATACAGAGAGGCCCTAGAGTCAGCAATGAGAGGCAGCAGTGAGAAAAGCCGCATTTAAAGTGCACATATTGGGCCAGGGATTTAGCTCAGTGGTTCTGCCGCCTGCCTCGCAAGCGCAAGGACCCGAGTTTGATCTCCGGTACCAAAATAAATAAATAAATAAAGTGCACATTTTGCCAGGCAGGGGCATGTCTGTAATCCCAGCATCTGGGAGGCTGAGGCAGAATGATCACCACAAGTTCAAGGTCAGTCTGTGGTACAGTTAGTTCAAGGCCAACCTGAACTACATAGCAAGAACCTGTCTCAAAAAGAAAAATAAATAAAATAAAATGCACATACTGAATAGTAAGACAGTGTCCTTCCCTTGCCTAGGAAATTGGCAGAATACTTTTTTATTTCAAGGGCAGGAAACTAGAGCATTCTACTGTACAAATATTCACATCCTGGTCCTGGGATTGTCCCTCAGGAAACTGTTATTTCCCTACAGTGAAGTTTGGTACTTGACCAGTTCATCCATGAACAAAGAACTTAAATACATTGGAACAGCATCTTACTTTTACCTGCAGACAGTTAAGGACTGACTGACTACCAGACTTTGAA